AGCCCCCCACCCCCGCTCTCTCTCAACACACATAGACACATGCACGTTTCTCTCTGGATGTTAGATTTGAACTTTTTGCAGCTGACAGAACATTGACTAGCCTCAGCCTCCCTCAGTTAATAACCCGAAGTGACACTTCCAAAGAATATATCAAAGATTTGCTCGCACATTTTTTTAAAGATGTTAGCAGATGCTTTTCTTTGAAAGAAGATAAATTATAGATGTTATTATTTTCCTTTATTGGAAAGAACACCCACTTCCTCAGTTCTGTGGAAGACTGGTAATAACCTTTCAGCATGAAAGATCTGCATTTTGTCCACAGGCTAAGGAATGGGCTTCATCAGAATGCACTTGGAAACAACAGGGTCACAGGTTTCTTTCTAAGAATTCAATGTAGGCTTATTATTCAGATCAAAGATTCCTTCTATTTAAAGGCCGAGATGGTGGGTTCATTTTTTTTTCCTTCCTGACAAAAGTGGAGACTGCATAATACCTTCACCGTAGAAGGGAGACAATAGACACATTTCCCCTCTGTTTTCTGAGACAAGGTTAATTCCCTGTTACCAGACTAAGATTTCTGATGTGAATGACCTACTTCTCAACTGGTCAGATGCTGCTAAGAGGCCCCTACCTTTGTCTAGTTAAAACACATCTTCCATTTTTGGTGTTTTTTTTTTTAAGAGCATCTCTGTACTGATCATGTATTTGTGGAACTGTAAGCAGTAAATAAGATTCATTTTTGTTTGTTTGCAAATGTACCTCATAATTAATGTTTCTTCATACCAAAGAGAAACACAGTCCAACTTCTCTTGGAAGGCAAGGTCTGAGTCTTAATCATCTTACACCTTAAGATATTTCTAAGTTACTGTGCTTGTTGTAAGTGTCCATTTCATACAGGAGCCACATGTCAAACCAGCCGGAAATTCCCACATCTACAGCATCCCTGATGGTCTAGAGGACCAGTATGCCTTGGTCAAAGAGGCTGTCTCTATATTGTGTCCTTCATAACATGTTGATTACGGAATTACCTTATGCCTCCTGTAACACCCTATTTTACAGATGTAAAAAGGAAATGGAGGCACCAAGACCCTGCCTTCTTCCTGTATCACACAGCTTATTAAAGTTAGAACTAATATCAGAACCAGGGCTCCAGACCTCTGGTCCAATGTGGGTTTTTAATTCCAAACCCAGAGCAGATGCTTTATACCATCTAAACTTAAATTTTCAGAGCTTTTTTTATTAGAATCCACAAACTTAGAATGAAAACAGAACATTTACTATTTCTAGAAATGTATATCTTGGCTGGTAAATACGTGGTTACTGAATAAACATGGAGAATTAGCTTCTTCATCCGTCTCCTTTCCTGGATTGTAATAAAATGCCCCTTCAGTCCTGAAGACTCCTGCCAAGCACGAGAGAATTGAGTTAACAATTCAATTCAGTTCAATTCTATCTAATCAGTAGATAATTCAGCATAACAGAGGTCATCAGTCAGCCTTGTCCCCAAGGAATCTTCCCAGTGTCCGTGCACCTGATTACTACAAGACAAAACCACACTATTTTTTTTAACCTAGATGTCACTCTTATATTAGAGTTGTTTTGCTTGTTTATGTCCCCAATTTTTGTCCCCGACCGAAAGCGAAATCCTTCATTTTAGATGACACTTGAAACACTGGTTGCCTGTGTGTAAAAAAAGAATTTAAAAGCCCCACATGGCACACAGTGGAATGAGAATTAGCTGTTTAGCTTTATAAAGCAGCATCCTTTGGCTGGCTCTCTCATGCCCCTCTTCGTACTCTCTTTCATCATGAATATCTAGGATCTTTGCCATATTGTCTTATGCCTGCTTCCCCAGCCTCACTCCTGGGCACCATGGGTCACAGGGCTGCCAACATCCAAGGCTTCTGGTTCAGGACATTGGCTAACAGAGAACCAATTGCATAGATCTTTCTTCTAGCTTGAAATGTTCTGAGAGGTAAACCTGTGACACCTGATTTGTATTTTCAGGATACTGTTTCAGTTCATCGACCAAGCTTTTATGCTGACAGATTTCTAAAGTTTATGAATTCCAGAGTTTTCAAGAAAATTCAAGGTAAGGTTCTTAGGATTTTACTCATTGACTTCACTGTGTGTATCTTTGCAAGATTTTTATTAAAAGGGTTTGGACTATCTCCGAAAGCTGTGATGAGTTAGTAATTATGGTTAAGTATTCCATTAGGTATTTACTGATGCCGTAATCATTAGAGTCCTATTTTGTGGTGGAAAAAATTAGAAACTGCCTAAATGTCCAACCTTATATTATATTGGTTAAATATATTATGGGACAATCTAATGGAATAATATGTATAATAAAAATCATATTAAAGGGGTGCCTGGGTGGCTTAGTCAGTTAAGCAGCTGCCTTCAGCTCAGGTCATGATCCCGGGGTCCTGGGATCGAGCCCCACGTCCGGCTCCCTGCTTAGTGGTGGAGAGCCTGCTTCTCCCTCTCCCTCTGCCTGCCACTGACTATTTGTGCTCTCTCTCTATCTCTCTGTCAAATAAATAAATAAATTCTTTTTTAAAAAATCATATTAAAGGTTCATTTAGGGGGCGCCTGGGTGGCTCAGTTGGTTGAGCGTCCGACTTTTGATTTCGGCTCAGGTCACGATCTCAGGATCAAGATTGAGTCCCATGACAGGCTCCGTGCTCAGCGCAGAATCTGCTTGGGATTCTCTCCCTCTCCCTTTCCCTCCCCCTCTGCTTCTCCCCTCACTCATGTGCACACACACATGCATGTTCTCTCTCAAATAAATAAAATCTTTTTTTTAAAAGATTTTACTTATTCATTTGTCAGAGAAAGCAGCAGACAGAGGGAGAAGCAGACTCCCTGCTGAGCAAGGAGTCCGATGTGGGACTTGATCCCAGGACCCCAGGATCATGACCTGAGCTGAAGGCAGCCACTTAACTGACTGAGCAACCCAGGCATCCCTTAAATAAATATATAAAATCTTTTTTAAAAAGGTCCATTTAGTTCTTATAGACACAGATTTATTCATATATGTGTGTGTGTATGTATATATATATGTGTATATATATAGTTATAGTTATTGGTTTTGTTTTGTTTTGTTTTTTAAATGTTTTATTTATTTATTCATGAGAGTCAGAGAG